ATGAGAGAAGCGAAGGTCGCAAATACCATGAGGTGGAACTGCATAGGCTCGATGTAGAACGTCTTCTCGACACCGGTCCACTCCGGGAACGAATACGGCTCAGGGACAAAGACCGGGTTGGGAGTGCACTCGAGGCCGGTCAACACGTTCGATCCGAGATCATTGACGGGGCAGATGAAGTACTTGTAGCGCATGAGAATGTTGGTGATGAAGAAACCGAAGATGATGGTGCAGATCCATGCGCCGATAAAACCTTCGACAGTCTTCTTGGGCGACAGCTGGATTAGCTGAGTCCGACCAAACGTGATACCGCAGACATAAGCGAAGATGTCGTTAACAATGACCAAAGAGGCAGGAAGGAAGAACCAGATCATTCCCTCCAGAACGTTGTTCATGACGAAGTGGGCTTGAACAACAATGAGGTACAAGGCCATATGTGTCCATGCGAACTGAGTGAACTGGAACCGATAGTGTCCCTTTTTCAGGGATGCGACGAAGAAAACAAATCCTGACCAATCAGTAAAGATACCATCAGAATCCCAAACATAAACTTACCCATGACATAGAGCATGAAGCTGATGAATCGGTGGTGATTCGCCAAAGGGAGCAGGACCTTGTCGACCAATAGGATATGTTTAAAATAGTAGATAACGCTCTCTCCATACAAGAAGTACATCGTAGTCGCCAGAAAATACCAGTTCAGCGACTTTGTGAAGCGAAGGTTCTTCTCTTTACTGGGCACGTTGGCGATCGCAATAACTTCCTTGAACGAAACGATCTGAACGGCGGTGACGATACCGAGAATGTAAATGTGGCCGGAGAATAGGACGACGAAGAAACCGAAGATCATGACAAAGGTCCATATTGTGCGCGTAATGAAGGTCTGCTTCTTCTTTTCATAGTCGGATAACTGGGACTTTTCGGATTTCTGATTGCGCGGAGTCAGCAAGTCTGTTTGGTTGTGCAGATGGTGGTGCGCTGCTCACCTCTTCCGGAATTGTGGCCGGCTTCGCAACGGTGCCGTCTTTGGACGGACTTCCCGGGTCAGACAGGATGTCGCTGGCCTCCGAGATACTGGACCGACGACCTTCCGAGGCATTCGACATCCTGTGTGGAAATCTGACGTTTCGACGGGTCTTAGACATGGCGGAAGAGTATGTATGTACAGACGAGGGGAAACCGGAACTGAGCGGCTGCTTGGGTTGAGGAGCGCGCGGGGTCGGAAGGAGAAGCTGGCGAGAGCTTGGGAGCTGAGAAAAAGGTTCGGAAGGGGCCGAACCAAGCAAGGGTGGAACTGATCAAAAGAGAAAAGCTGATGAGAAAAGGGGGGTAGGGTAGCAGAGATGCCAGAGCACAAAAGAAAAAGGGTGAAGCAGCAATGATCGTCGTTCTTAGGGAAAATTCATGTGAACTGGCGACCGAGGAATGAAGACAACAGGTAGACGTGAGCCTCAAGCAATTAGGATCAAGGTGGCTTGTGGTCTGGCCTGATTGCAAATCACTTGGGTGACTGACTGTTCCACAAAAAGAGTTGACAAAACAAAAAAAGTCGAGGCGATGGCAGGGAAGTTTTTTTGGTCAGCAAGAGGTGGAGATAACTAGAGGAGGTGGAGGTGGAGGAGAAAGATCGAGAGAGGGAGGGAGAGAAGGAGTTGAGCCGGCGGGAATTCTTGATTACGCGCCTAAACCCCCGTCGACGTCAGTCAACTACCACTCTAACTTGTGTACCGCACTTACTAACTACTGCTAACCAAGTTACCTTTTTTTTTTTTTTTCTCTCCCGCATTCATCGTCTCCTTATTCGTTAATTGATCGTCTATCATACACTCAACGCATCTACTTAATTGCCTCCCCTCTCGCAACCAGGACGTGCATCTCATGGCGATCGTCCATCGCTGGGCATGGAAGAAAACGACGATGATTTCTTCTCCGACGATGGCTTCGACGACCTGCCACCGGGCACCCTCTACCAACTCGAACAAAATGCCTACCGTGCGACTCAAGCCCCAGCTACCCAACAACAACAGCAACAACAGCCCCTGCCTGAGTTGACGGTCTCTACTCGCCCTTATGTCCGCTCCGATCATCAAACTATCTCCGGAGATAATCTCAAGCCTTCCAATGCGACTTTACAACCCCCTCCGCGTTTACACTCTGGTTTGACCAACGATTATGACGACTGGGACATAGGCGAGCTCGACGCGGAAGTCCTGGACAATGGTGTTGCCATCCAACCGGACGATGCGCTCCAGCAAGCCTCTGTCTTTGCTACACCTGCCCATCACAATGAGCCGCATCCTCACGTCGAACATGGTAACATACGAGCCGAGGCGGAGGACGAGTATGGATACCTGCCCGATCCAATGGAGATTGAGGGGGTAGGAGGGTCCTCTCAATACGCTGAGCTGCACAGGACTCATGCGGAACTGAGCGAGAAGGTAATGCTAGGGAGAGGTGATCTGAGACTGCACGCCTACAGAACTAATCGTTGAAATAGCTGGCGATGGAGAATGAACGTTATAAGCAGGTATTAGAAGAGCTGACGGCCGCCAAATCGATCGCGGAAACGAAGACCGGTGAGATCGCCATCATTCGAGCCAACCAGGCCAAGGTCACCCAGGACTATGATCGACAGATGACGGCACTGCGCAAGGCCATGGCCGAGCAGGCCGCCAGGCACAGAGAAGAGGTTGAGGCTGCGCGTGCAGAGGGCAAGATGCTCGCCACGGAGAACGCCTTTCTCAAACAGGATTTGGCCGAGGAAGCGATGCGCATCAACCAATTGAAGGCAAAGCCTCGGACGGAGGAAAAAGCACCGCCGGTGACCCCGAAGAAGACCAGGGTCCTGCCTTTCCGAGACGGGTTTGACGATGATGAGATCCTCGCTATTTCGCCTACTAAGTCGGTGAAGTCGAAGCGCACTACACCAACTGTGCCTGGGAAGAGAAAGAGGAAGCTCAGTCAGGACAGTCCCACGCCATTGCAGTTAAGTCCGCAGGCAGAGCCCCTGCCGGACGAAGCAGCGGAAGACTTGTCCGACGATGCAATGGTGGATGTCCTTCCCGAACAATCTGTTCCTTTTGTCAGGAGCTACGACAGCAGCATCGTGAAGCGTATCTTGAATCATCGGACAGTTGCGGATGGAAAGCCTGACATTGAAGTTATGGCTGGGCTGGCTTTCCCCTCCGATCCCCAGCAGATGTTATCTACGATCTTGCTGGGTGAGACGGCCAAGCTTGACTTTGGCAACTACATGGTGGAATATGGGCGGGCCATCATCTCATTATGGGGCCGCGCATTGAGCGAGAAGTACTACCTCCCCATCCCAATGTTCATGTCAATCATGGGGTTCCTGATCTCGATCGACATGCCGTCACATGATCCGGACTTGATTGAGCACTTGATACCCATCCTACAGGAGTCCGGGGACGTCAACGGTGTGCCCCGCTTCAAACATTCTCCTGTGTCTCGACAGAACCTTGGCCAGGTACGGAAAACTCCGTTGTCGCAGTTGGAACCATTAGTAGATTCGACCGAAGCATTAAGTCTTCTGTTCCAACTGGCCTGCCGACGCATGCATGTGGAGCGGGAGATGACGACTTTCTGGCGTTGCATGCGGTACGACTTTGTTTTGATGATGTTGAACTGCTCGCAGCCGCTAAGAGATATCAGCTTGATGCTTAGCCTGCTGTCGACGAGCATTCGAGAAGGCTCGTTCGGGTCCATCCAAAATACCGAGCAGGACCAGATCGCCAACGAAAACTACATTGTTGACCGCGTTGCGAACCTGCTAAGTGAGACTCCACAGCTGGATGAAGGGCAAGATCCGTATCTGCCATATGAGATTTGCGATATGCGGCGGGAGGCTCTGTCCTTCCTCACGTCGGTGGCGTTCAACTCCCAGGCGCTGCAGAGCACTCACGGTAGCTTGATCCTGGCGTCTCATCCCACTGTGCTCGCACGACTGATCCGGGCAATGCACGATGAGGTGCACGCGTTATATACCCTACCGCCCGAAAAGGATCTCCACGCGTCCATGATCAATGGGTTGATGAGGCTTGTGTACGGGGTGATGCAGCGGCACCGCGAGCAGGTGGACCTGCAGGCCAAGTTGTGTCGCGTGGCAGGCGGAAAGCAAAAGTTCCTGGTTGTCTTGACCCGGCTGGCGTTCAGTGAAGGGTTGGTACTGGAAGCGGGGATAACGGATGACACGGTGGAGATGGCACATGAGATCCTCGATGATGCGGTCAATCCGCAGGAAGCCGAGGCGCTGCTGGAGGCCTTTCCCAACGCCAATCGGGATGGGGAGTGATGTGATGTACGTACAAGGCCGATCTTAAAGCATAACGTGTGACAAATACTGAAAGCGGGTATATCACAAAGTACACTAGACAGGGGTACTCATTACGCTGCGTAGCTGCGTAGGGAACCATTCGATCTGGAGCGAGAACATGGTGAAAGAACAGCATTCCAGGATGCGTAGAGGCGGATGAGTCGCTCACGGAAATCTAGCTAGCCTAAGTGTACGAGCATCTCTTCTCCATAACCCCGCACAAGGCGAAGCGATGATGAAAAGAAAGATATCCCGAAGGAAGAGTGCCAAAGAATACGCCTGTCAATGACCCGAAGGCCGTTGAACGGATTGTTCCTCCGCGCTGTGCAATGCAGGGACCAATCCGTGGTGGACCGCCTTCTTGATCGCAGCCACCCAAACAAGGTAAGTATGAAGAAAAGAAAGAAGAAAAAAGTTTAAAAGGGCGACGGGGGAGGGCGGATTATATACTCGTCAGCGGGGCGGTGAGTCCGCGCTACTCGCAAGCGAGCTTGCTTCTAGCCAATCATAATGCTTGCCCGCCGGGAGACTATGTATGCCTCAGTGCTCAGGCCATAACTAGGCAGTAATTACTACTAGGTAATCATGTGCTTACCCGTCACGTGCTCTCGCGGCAGCGAAGTTTTGGCCGCCGGCGATAGTTCCGGGGGAGAAAGACAGCAGCAGAGTAGGAGCAAGCAACCCACGCACCACCCACCCCTCTCTCCAGAAGCTCGCCGCCGCCATCATGAGGAACAGGGCTACTACACCCTTGAAGACACCGGTATGCTCTTCAATCGATACTTCTTATTACTTTCCTCTCTCCCCCCCCCCTAAGTCCTCCTCTAATATCTTCTTCCCGTTCAGAAAATCCGGCAATCATGGAGCAAATATAACCTGTATAACCTCAGTCGGCTGAGGGACGTCTACCGCCCAAACGCCACCTTCTTCCAGCAGAAATGGAAGGCCAAGGCCGCCGCTCGCGCCTACCACGGGGAACAGGTCTCCGAGAAGCAATGGCAGCGCATGTTCTCCCCCCGCTTGCGCAGCGTCGTGCCCATGGCCCCCAGCAATTTGGCCCGAGATGACGGTTCCGCCATGTCGGCCGGCCGTGGGTCCGGTCTGACGAAGGCCCCGCAACCGGAAGAGATGGAGGATTTTGAGGTGTATGAGGAGGATGCCGGGGCTGACAAGCCTAGGGAGAAGTTTCGGGGGTCTCGGGCGTCTTACACGGGTGAGAGAACAACGCCTTACGTTCAAATGACGTTCGCCCCGTTGGAGCGTCGCCTCGACACGGCTATCTTCCGTGCCATGTTTGCGAGCAGCGCGAGACAGGCCCGGCAGTTTGTGGTGCACGGTGCCGTCAAGGTCAATGGCAAGCCGGTAGGTTTCTTTCTCGTGCTCGTTTTCTGATCTCCCTGGGGGGCTCTATCTGGGTCATCGCATTGGACGAATATTAATAAGGCTTCGCGCAATGGTAGATGAGATTCCCCGGCTACCTACTCAATCCCGGCGATATGTTCCAGGTTGAACCTGAGCGCGTCATGTATGCCACCGGTGCGCCCAAAGACAAGGTGGAACGACGACAAACCCGAGTGGCCCGCAAGAAGGCGGCCGAGGAGGCCAAGAAGGCCGAGGAGGCTGCGGAGGAAGCCGCGGAGGAGGCTGAGGAGGCTGCGGAGGCTACCAAGGCGGAATCGGCGCCGTTGGAGGCCCCCCGCAAGACCCTCAGGGCGCTCATGTCTAAGGCTAAGGCCATCATGAATAGCAGCAAGGACGTGCTCCCGGCCAAGCGCAAGCAGGATCTGCGTGGATTCCAGAGAGCCGTTCGTCGGGTATTGTCCCGCTCGGGAAACAGCTCGGTTTTGACTGCCAACCTCGAGGAGCAGTTCTCCGAGCTGACGACTCTTCTCAAGGTCAAGCGCGCCGAGAAGAAGCCCGTGAAGGCGAAGGAGGAGGAGTCCGAAACGAAGGAGGGCGAGGAGGAGAAGCAGAAGGCAGAAAAGACGGAGGTGGAGGCTAAGGCTGAGGGGTCTGCTACCGAGAAGTCCGAGTCCGAGGCTGCTACCACGAAGGCAGGCGAGAACGGCCCCATCACTACTCAGCTGTCTGAGGCGTTCCGTCAGGCCATCCAGAACCCGGAGAAAGAGGTGGACACATCGGAACTCTCAGACGAGGAGTTCGAGGTGCTGCGCCGGGCGCTCGTCCAGATGCGCGACAACCCGGTGGATAGCACCAAGCCCTATGCCACCCCCTGGAGGCCGCGTGACTACATGAGTGCGTTTGCCACGATCCCCCGTTACTTGGAGGTCAATCACAACATATGCGCTGCTGTGTATCTGCGCCACCCCGTGGCTCGTCCTGGCTTCGGTGAGGTGCCGACGCCATTCGGCGAGATGGTCAACAATCCGGCGTTTGTGTGGTACTTGAGACGGCGGTAGGTGCATTTCACGTGGGTTTTTATCCAATCATCTGTATTCTCTCTTCTCTGTTTTCTCTCCGTTCTGCGGGCCTGTTCCACAGTCTTCATGTATTACTGGGTGTCTGATTATTCGATGTGTCGGATTGGTTTCTTTTTTTTCTCTTTGGTTCCCCTGCATCTTGGGTGCTTATCTACAGTGTATTCCTTTTTTTTTCTTTCTTTTTTATGGTTTGTTGTTTCCCCTTGATCACCAGGGGAGAGGGCAAAAGTCAATGAAGTAGCCAGGGTATTCGGAGCTAGAGGATCCCACTGTACTGTACATCATCAATACGAATATACTCTTGAGTATCTATACTTTAGCTTCTTGTAGACATGGCGAATCGCTTGTGCCTATTGAATGCGATGAAGCGAGACGCCGTCTGACAATCACTCCGGAAGAACTATGAGGTAGCCCAGATACCAACATACCAACAGCCCCTGAAAAATACCGAGTGTGATAGTTAGATAACATGCTAAATGACCACCTCCACCGCGGGGCTCTAGACCAACCCAACCGGCTGCCATGACTTAAAATTGCAGACATTTGGGTCGAATTTTTCAGAGGGGCGTAACGAGACCAAGGGTTTTTTGGGTTTTTGGCTTGGCGACTCTCTCAATAATGGCATTATTAACTTATTGAATTAATTACTATTAGTACTATTAGCTTAAAGTTCTCCGCCCGCCGCAGTTGCTGTCCACGGTTCACCATCAATCTCACTCTCATTCTCACTCTCACTCTCACTCCCTCTTCCACTCCTTCTCCCTCTCCCTCTCCCTCTCCCTCTTTCCTTCTTTCTCCGCCTCTCACCACTTTTGGGAGACTTGGAAAGCTCACTAAAACCATGTCCATGTATTCCTGGCATGGTTCAACTGCCACCACCAGTACTGGTCATCGAACGCATCCTCATCCTCAGCAGCAGCAGCAGCAGCAGCAGCAGCAGCACCGACACCAACGCCAACACCTCCCACATCTTCCCCATCACACCGCGAACGCCGCCGCCCCAGCCGCCGCCGCCGCCGCCGCCGCCTCAAATCCGCGCATTGACTCGACCTCGACCACCATAAAACCCACTGCTGCTCCCCCAAGTACCTCTGCCGCGGCCCTTCAGATGCCCCAAATGCCATGGCTTCCCTCGATGATTTCCGCGCGAGCCAACCAACAGCATACAACGCTCCCTAACTTGTCCACGAATTTGCGCTTACGACCACAGCCGACGCCGCAGCCTACTGCACTTGATACACAGCAGCAGCATCAGCACCATTCGCACCCCCACTCACTTTCTCGGCATTCTCAACAGCAACAGCAACAACAACAGCCTGTTCCTATGGTCATTGATGCACGTCAACAGCAACAGCAGCAACAACAAAAACAAAAACAGCGACAGCAAAAACAACAGCAAGCTGTCTCCATATCGAGCGAAGAGAGTGATTTCGATACCTCTGATTGCAGCGTACGACATATCACCACCGCGGACGCGTTGGGAGACCAGGATTACGTTTCTTCCGATGGGATGGGCGCGAACACAATCGCACGTGCGCGCTCACATGCTCGCGCACAGCAGCAGCAGCAGCAGCAGCGTCGCCATGGTCATCATCCTGTAGGTGGGGGTAATGGCGGAACCGCCAACAGCACCGCTACCACTACTCCTTCCAATAGTCAGCGAGATGGACCCATCCCCAACGGTAATGCGACAACAACCCGATCTGGCACTACAGCTACTACCATTCTCATTGATGATCGCGATGACCTCGACCTCGATGCTACCGCCGCAGGCAACGACAGTGCCGACAACTCCCTAAACATCACCGGCGACCGTGAAGGGCCCCGCAAACACGGGAAGCGCCTGACCACCCTCGAGGAAGTCTCACTCTTCGACATCTGCAATCGCCATGCTCACGAATTCGGTCAGCGCAGTAACCTGTGCAAGTGGTGGATGACGGTCACGGAGGAGTTCACGCGCGACCAGGGACATCCGTACTCGTGGCACTCGGTCCGTCGCAAGGTGGAACTCGTGACCAAACAACGCATGAAGTTTCTGGACGAGCAGCGCGAGAGACGGGGCAGTGAGAGCGATGATCGGTCGAATCTCAGATGGAGGGCTGCTGTGGATGCGTGGATTCCCACGTGGCAGAGGTGGGAGGAGGCTGAGGCGAGGCGGATCGAGAAGAGGGACTCGAGGAGGCCGAGGAAGAGAAAGGACAGAGAGTGGGAAGTGTGGGTGAACGGCAACAATGACGGGGTCAGTCCTAGCTTAGGGGCTTGGAGAGCGACGCGGAGTGTGAGTGGCAGCGGAAGTCCACTGGTGAACGTTGGTGGCGCTGCTGCGCAGCTCCCAACACCGTCGCAGCAAGCGCTCTCAACGCCGCCCGCCTCCACGCCCCAGCACACCAAAGTCCGTCTACCCCCCGGATTCGATAATATGTTCGCCAGTCAGCCGCAGTCCCATTACCACACCCCGACTCCAGCCCCAGCGACTATGCTAGGCGGCGCATCCGGAGGCCGACCGTCTCTGGACGGGTCCCTCGCTCTACAACAACTAAACAGCACCCCTTCAGGAGGCGAGGCGGGTAACGCAGAGTCGTCGTCGATGATGAGTGCCGTTCTAGAGACATTGGGCAAACTCAACCGTCACCTCGACGCTGCCAATCCCACCACCACCCTACAAACCTCTTTCAAACCCCTCGAAACAACCGACAGCCGCTCACGCGCTGCCACCGCCACAGCGCAGCAGCAACAACCACAACCATCCCAATCGCAATCCGACACTAGCTCGAACCCCGACGACCCCCCCTCGCCCACCCAAGCCCCGAAGATGTCCCAAGTCTCCTTCCTCCCGATCCCAACTCACCTCATCGCCAAGCTCAAAACCGAACTCCGCGAGGAGATGCGTGAGGAGATGCGGTCCGAGCTGGCCAAGGACCGCGCGAGTCTCGAGGAGAAGCTGGACTCGGTGCAACGAACGCAAGAGATGATCTTGGAGATGTTGAGACAGGAGCCGTCTTGACTTGCTTTGTCTTTCCTTTTCTTTCCCCATTTATCACGTCATACTTATACCCCATATATTCCCTTGATTTGTCTTCTTCTATATCGTGATATATTTGCATATGATACCCACTGGTCTAGAGCAGTGTTGTCTGTTTGATTGTGCTCGGCCAGCCTTTTTATTTGTCACTTCAGTTTCCTTGCTTCTGCTTCCTTTCCTCCTATATACATACACCTATATATTACCTTACCCTTCAAGATACCTGAAATATACATTTAATCCCGTTGGATGGTTCACCAAAGAACCATCCACTCAGAAGTCCTATATCTCGTCATGAGCCTCACTCACCAAACCAAGATCAAAGTACGAAACATCGCAGTCTATATTGCCTCCAAAAACCTAGAACACGGTAGTAGGTATAGTATAGCACGCAGGAAAGGAAGGCAGGCCCCCAGCGAAGCACGAATGAAGTCAAAAAGAAACAATAAAAAAAATAATGATAATTCCCGGCTAAATTACATAGTTTGATAACAACCATTCCATGAGAGCTTTGTGTATGAGTGAGATTGTGTGGGAGGGTTTAAGATGCTTTGTGTCAAAAAGAAAGAAAAAAAACAAGAATCGTTTCTGTTTTTTCTGGGTCATTCCCCCATCACGCAACACCATCATCCTTGAAGTGTTTCCTTCATCACCAGCGGATATCTCTCTCTCTCTCTCTCTCCCCTCTTAACTTTCTGTCCTCTTCCCCTCGTTCCTTTTGCCTGCACAATGGCTAAACTGAAGACGGAGAAAAAAGAACTTTCTAGTAGTAGAAAGTCTCGTCGACAGTGCGGCCTCTCATCCAGCGGGGCTCGCTGCCACGGACGTAGATATCCTCGAAGAGGATGCGGGAGTTGCTGTCGGGGACGGGCATCTTCTCGGCGATGGCGACCTCAGAGTCGACGTGGGTGCGGGCGGCCTTGTCGAGGGCCTTGAGCTCCTCCTCGGTGCAGACGCTCCAGTCGAGGATCTTCTGCTTGAGACCGGCGATGGGGTCGTGGGTGCTGCGCATGCGCTGGATCTCCTCACGGCTGCGGTAGGTGGTACCGGGGTCGGACATGGAGTGACCACCGTAGCGGTAGGTGACGTACTCGAAGACGAGGGGTCCGTTGCCGGAGGTGGCGTACTCCTTACCGTACTTGACGGCGGCCTTGGTGGCCAGGACGTCCATGCCGTTGACCTTGATACCGGGGATGTACTGACCGCGCTTGTAGTACTCGGTCAGGGCGGAGGAGCGGGCGGCGGATGTACCCATGCCGTACTTGTTGTCTAGGGACGAATTGTTAACAGTAGTTCCTCTGGGAAGGGAAGGCAAAACGTACTCTCACAACCGAACAGGGCGGGCAAGTTCCACAGCTTGGCCATGTTGAAGGCCTCGAAGACCTGACCCTGGTTGGAGGCACCATCACCGTACAGGATGATACTGGTGGCCTTCTGGTTGTTGTACTGCTGGGCGAACGCCAGACCGGCACCGACGGGGACCTGGGCACCGACGATACCGTTACCGCCGTAGAAGTTGGGGGCGAACATGTGCATGGAACCACCCTTGCCGTAGGCGATACCCTCACGGCGACCGAGCAGCTCACCAATGATGGAGCGGACGGTACCGCCGCGCATCATGGCGAAACCGTGGCAACGGTAGGCGGTGATGATCTTGTCGTCGCGGGAGATAGCGTGCTCGATACCGGTGGCGACGGCTTCCTGACCGGTGGACAAGTGGCAGAAACCTCTAATCTTCTTCTCCTTGTACAGACGGTCGGCGGCCATTTCCATGCGTCTGTTCCAAAACTCGTTAATAAGGGAGTTGATGCGAGACAGAGGGCACCCGTAGCAGCATACCTCATGGCAACCATGTCGTAGTACATCTGCTTCAGCTCCTTCTTGGTGATCTCCAGGGTGTAGGGAGGGGGATCGATCTCGTAGGTCTCGAAGCTCTCGTCGGAGAGACGGACGGTGAAGGGCTTGTCATCCTCCTACAGAAACAGTTAGCTGGATGGAAAAAAAATCGGGATTGAGGACGAAGCATTGAGGTCCCATCGGTTCACTGGGAGGCGCGTCTTACCTGAGGGACGTTCTCAGCATGCGCCGAGGCAGCGTCGGTGGTGACGGAGCGACGGGCAACGGGGGCAAAAGCCTGACGCCTCAAGGGGGCGGCTTGACGGGCCGCAGCACGGAACAACATGATGGATGAGAGGCAGCGGAGGACAGCGAGATGCTGATGAAGGTGAATGAACAGAGGGAGAGCAGTGCTGCTGTTATCTTTCAACAAGCCGGATATGTTGGGAACAAACTTTCCCCTGCGACTAGGCGGAATTCGGCAGGCACGGATTAGATAAGCATCCCTTAGAGGCCGTCCGGTGTAGCAGTTGCAAACCGAGCAAACTGCTCCGAGCGACTCGGGCGATTGATTATTGTAGAGTGTTGAGGTGCTACAACTATAGTTGTACTATACCGGCAACTACTTGTTTTCCCTCTGAACCCAAATGCATAGTGATGACTTCAGGAGTCATATTCTAATAGAATCTTAGCAGCTATTCAGTCATGCCCGCCGTCACCTTTTCCCATGACTTGTCGCGGTCAACTCCATCACTCCGGGCGTCACCGCCGGAGCCTTGGCAGCATCGGACTATGTTAGCCCCGAACTCCTCCCTTGTCCGGTTAAACATTGAAGCTAAAGTGACTTAGGCTGACGGTGTCGAAACCACAGAACTGTTTCTGGGCGATGATAAACCTTTGGAATATGAGGTGAAGCCAAAGGAAATCTGTGGCCGTGGCTCAGGATCTGTCACCAGATCGACCGCTCGTGACTCCGTAACTCAGCCTCGATACTATATAAAATTTTACCATCCGGGGACACACCGTCTGTGCATGGGACTACAGAACACCTTGATCACCATCCAAATACTTCACCTCTGGCTGCTTAAGTGGTCAGTGATCTAGACTTCATCTGTGCCACTGTTCGCAAGATAAAAAGTATAGCTACTCTAGAGCTATTGCAACATGCATACCTTCTGTTGAATAGGTGCTGAGCGTTGTACCCTTGCCAGCATGATCCCAGTCGTCTTCGACCATATACTCGAATGACAAGGTATGCTTACCTATGAAAAAAAACCTTTTCCATGCTCCAACTTCCTCCGACATCATTTTCTGTTGGCACCGTCGAGGCAGATCCCACCTTGACATTTTGGCCCCCGTGACGGGAGCATGGAAAAAAGCAAGAAGACAGAATCTCACCACGACATGCATACCACAAAATAATATTGGGTCGTGGCGGTGCAACTGTCGCCGATTGGCCATAGGTTCAGTAGGACCGTGGAATGAAGTTCTTGCTTTTTCTGAGTCTTCATACCCCATTGAAGTCTAGCTGGGAGCGCCACGCGAAACCGTAAGCGACAAGCTGGGCAGGTCAGCAATGGTGTGCATGGGGTGCACGTTGGACTATGCTGACATGCGTCCGGGTCCCAACAGATGAATTGTTTGCTTGTACGTTAATCGGAATTTGAGACAAGGGTATTGTTCCTTCGAGCGTTGAAAGATGATAGGTAGTGATGCTAAGGCCATCCTGGCTGTGTACCTGGGCTAGCATAGCTGTGGGTGTCTTAATTCCTGTCGCGCGATAACCGATACCTCGATTTCCCTGGGGCAAATAGAGGCCAGAGATTTGACACCTGCGTCACCTGTCTGCTTTTTCTGACGTTGCATGGCAGCAACGCACACCAAGATGTCAAGAACGGGGACAGGTAGGTATAAATCTGATGCTTCGAATGCTTCATCGTCCGTCCTGGTGGGTCCTGGGGCTCCAGATCAGCTTACTCCATGCGGATATTTAAGCGACCACAACCACTGCATCGGCACGAACATCAGCCAGAAATTCGGGCAGATCCCGAATGATCGCTCAGGGTGGGCTGCACCTTAGCAGTACCTAATCTGGAAGCGCAGGACACATTGAACACCGTCCTCAGACTTGCCTCGATACGGTAATTGTGTTCAGAGCTCTTGAGGTCGTTGATCAGTTGGTGATCGCAATACAAAAAGGGGCGAGATCTAGAGTAATCATGTCAGCCTAATGCGACTCCTTGCTATTGAGGCATTTGCCAAACTATTCAATGCTTTTTATTATGCGCCGACGTGCTGCTGTTGACTCGCGCAGCTCGACTGCGCCTGTTCTCGTATCGTATGTGTAAATAGGCAGTGGGTGGACCATCGCTCGTCCGCAAGTCCCCATAGTTCGTTGTTATTAATATCTAGCCCACGTTTGAATTCTCGTTTCCCTTCGAAACGTGGCAGCGGGGTGGATAAGCCCAAGACTGGTATCAGTGATACTGTTCGTGACAGTCACAGAGGGGGGGCTTCTTGCATGGGGCCTGACAATTGGAAACAGTAATCAACACTCGAAAAGGCATAGTCCTGGAAGACCTTGTTCTAGCTATTTTTGCGCAGCTTCTGGAGCGTTTCCTGACAAGCAATTGAATGGAGCTCTTGAGCAGGGATAAGTCCTGTTGGCTGTTCGGGGCTGCGCTTGCCAAAACCTCCTAGTTTTCGGGTCAGTGATGTGCGTAAGTATTTTGTGGTTGTAGATCTTATTACAGAGACACAAAGACACGGCACATCGCAGTACAAATCCTCTTTTCAGCTGTGAACAGAATCGCACTGTTGATTCGGAAGATCGAGGTCGAGTCGGACCTCTGCTAGAGTGTAGTGTAGCAGCTAAGTGCATGACTCTCTCACGGTTCGATTTCGCGGGACTAAAGAGACCTGCCTCTTCTGGACCATGTCCGACGATAGTTCATCGACTACTGTCTCAAGGTTCGGTAGATCGCGAGAAGTTTCAGACCGGGGGAATTCTAGAAGAAAGCAGAAGAGTGCGATTTGTTGTGTTCTGAAGCCGGAAAACTTTCATGACTCTGGTGGGGAATCGTAATCGCATTGCTTCAGTTAAAGTTTGCTTAGTTGGTTAGTCCTCGCTAGTTCGGGTGGAAATGGTCACAATTAGCCTGCTCGGGTTGTATCGAGCGGTATGGTATGGCCGCGGGTTATTGAGGGAGATTCTGGATGCAAAATTCGAAGAGAGGAGGTACGGAGTATTCGATTGTTCCTCTGAGAGTCTTCGAGACCATCGTAAAATGCGGATTGTGGATGACATCACGCATAGCATTGATCCGATGAATGTCTGCTGGGAGATAGGTGTATCGCAACTAAATCTCAATGGGAAAGCACCGGGTAATTCCAAGTTCGGATTTATTGTAACGAGTATAGTTTAGATCGATGATACTGCGAAACGGAGCACTACCCCAAGAAGTGCAATCCTCCCCCGGAGTTCCGAGGAACCGTTCCCTGCTAAATTAATTAGTCTGACCTTCAGAGTATCAGGCTATCAGCAATTCAGTAGTGAAGGGTGTATGAGTGCCTAGTCATCGCATTGACCACTACAAACCCATACCTCAGAATTAATTATAGTACTATCGATAAGGGGCGTGATCGAGGCCTTCCACTGCCTGTGGACATACGCACAGTATGCGCACTCAGAACCAGTCAGTCGGGACCGAGGTATAGACTGAAATAAGGCACCTTGAATCACAATCGCGTCAATAGATTGGCAAGGCACATAGAGGCGATCCGATGATGAACCGATGCTCAAATCCCGCAGCGAGGCGACTTACTCAAGTATCTACACAGCGACCTGCGGAAGATCGTCGTTGCAAACCCACTGATCGATGGAGTCACCTTGCGTGAGGCTCAGACTATGCGATTTATTGGTTCCTCGACAGCCTTTCTGGGAAGGTGAATTGGCCGAAGACGCGGAGGGCAGCAGACAGACGGACGGAAATTCCGCCTTATCCTGCGATGCTCAAGCTCTCTGCAGATACTCCATCGATCCATCTGCAGTAACTACATGACGGCCTCTGTAAATTGGCCATAGCGGGCGGATGGGGAGTGATCGGTTCCACACATCATAATTACTCAAGTACCTTCTTTGCAGCCCTCGTCCATGACAGGTCGCATTTGAGGAAACGACCTGACAACACGATCGTGTTCAAACCAGGCATATCTGGCTCGTACACTACTCTTGTTGCGTGATACACCTGATCGCCGGTCGGAATGTATCGCAGTTCATTGTCCGGGGCCGTGCTACCCGGACGGTCGAGATTGACTCCCAAAAAGTGGTTATTAGGCGGGTTTCACGATTGTTTCAACCCCCTTTGGAAGACAAGGATATCTACTTCACTCTGCGCCATATTGTCAACGGTAATTCCAGGGGCCGCTTACATGAACCTGTCGGAGATCATGGTTGGCTTAAGCGGTAATTATGGGTTGTTGGCCATATTGGCAGCGCGACGGACTTGCTCTATTCAAGGATGGTCGCTCCGGTAGTTTCTCCCTCACAAGTGGAGTGGAGATGGTCTGCACGGAATGTCCGAGACTGCCGTTGCTTCAGGTGGTTAATTCCAGTCAATCGTACTTCTGTTAAGCACCTCCGACTGCGCTCAATTGTCGGGTCGATGAGCTGGGCGAGGCGACATCTGACCAGTCCAACGCCTTTGACAGTGGAGATGAAAGGAGACAGTAAGTTAGTGGTGGTGGTGGTGGCTACTGTCCCGACCACTTCCGTCCAGTTACCCCCCCCTCTCAGCTCGTGCATGACTAGTCACTCAATGAATTCTGGCGTCTGTGCATATTGTTGAAATCCGGGTTCTGGGGGAGCAGAGATCTGAATCGTGGGGCTCCAGATGAGATACGGGAGAGACGATCCATCCTCGATACAGTACGAAGTACGGAGTACTGAATGAATAGACGGGCGGTCGGCATCTGGCAGAGCAAGAGTCAGCCGAGTCGGCCGGCTGGTTCTCGAAGGAACCGACCGAGGAAGAGTTATGGAAATCGGTTGGAGTAGGCTGGCAATAGATGAACGATGCCGTCAAGTGATCCTTGACAGCGTTCCAACCTTCCATCGAAGCCAAACGTTATCGCTGGCCCTACCGTTGTCGAACAAGCACGCGTGCTTTGCCACTGGCGACCCACGGTTGACCATAATGGTGCAAAGATTTGGGCACAACGGCAACGTGATACATCGGCAAGACCCCGATGGCTATGCCCTCGTCTCGGGAGAAATACGTTTGGCTGTACCATGGTCTATGCCGTAGGTACGGAGAAGGTAGACTCGGTTTACGTTCAGGGCACTGAGAGGAATCGCCATTGCCAAGATGAGGTCAGGTCTCGGTCGCGGGGACTGCTTGCACCGCACCGACTTGATTCACCAACCACCTCGTGTCGACAAGCACCCAATTATGCTTTGAACTGTGGTGTATTGTTACGGTGCACAGGGCTGCTTTTTGATTTAAAGTTTACATCTATCAAGTTGGAGGAATGGAGAGGTCAAGCATTCTCCTCCTCCACCTCCAACAAGGTTACCGCACCGATAACACACCACCGATAAAGTCGTCCTATGGTTCGGATCAGACGATCATCCAGCAAAGCCGGAAGGGGGCCGATCATCCGTGGGCTGGACAGCGTTCCATGGCAGCCTGTGGTCGTCCTTGAATTTCTATAGGATTTCGACTGACTGGGGGCCGAATCCTCACGCTGTAGGGCAGGAGGAACGGAGGGTGTATGCGTTTTTGTATGCATTGGTATGCATTGGACCAAGATGGGGATGAGGGCGGAGGCGGAGGCGGACAAGCATTGCTGCGCCTACGAACGAACGAACGAACGAACGATGGTCCAAGTGAACAACTTGTAGTCCATGCACTAAACCTTACCTTTAATGCTTACACAACTAAATTAGTCTGGTAAGTTACCAGGTCTTTCTCTCATGTCTTATGCCAATGGTTCTTTGACCACATTGCAGACATTGACGACATGCTTGGCTCCTGATCCATGAGGGACCGTACCAGGCTACAGACCATCAGCGTACCTTAGTTCGCCTCTCAAATTAATTGCTTGCCGCGCTTCAATTGCGGTCGGAAAGCAAGTGTGGAGAGAGAGAGAGCCGATAGATTGATTACCTATGGATTGATTCCCCGCATGGTCGGATTTTTGGACTGAACCCAACAGTCAGGTTCCGGTGGATGAATCATCCGCCAGGGTGCAGATTAGAGAATCCCTAGTCTCCAAGTTATTCAGTCAGTCAGTCAGGCAGACAAAGAGGAACAACCAAGGCAACCTACTAGTCAGTTATTCTTATCCTCGGAAGAGAGTGGTGTGAGTGTCTGTCTGTGTCCCCTTTTTTTCTTTGACGGTTCAGACATTAGGGGGTGAGAGAGGGGGAACAATTGAGAGAGTTGAGACTAGGGGATAGGGACCGAGTAGGTTTAGCGTCTGATTACAGTACGGTAAAGTATACTAGGTACCTTTAATACAGTAGTACCTTAGTCTTCTAGTCTAGCCATGCGGGTGGAAGCTCACCCACGGTGGGGATCCCGCTGTTATGCAGCAACCACCACCACCACCACTCGTTGGTCGGCGGGTTACGTACTTAACCTCTTTCTAAACACCCTAACAGTC